AGTCTAAAATCTAAAAAGCTAACAGAATATCAGGAATCATTAGGAAAGGAATAGATGATAAGACAGAAAATATTATATTGCTTCTATATAAGTCATTGTATGCCCACATCTTAAATACTGCATGCAGATCTGGTCACTCCATCTAATATATATATATATTGGATTTGGAAAAGGTACAGAAAGGGCAACAGAAAAGATTAGGGGTGAGGAACAGCTTCCATATGAAGGGAGATTAACAAGACTGGGACTTTTCAGTTTGGAAAAGAAATGACTAAAAGGTTGAGGGATATGTTAGCTGTCTAGAAAATCATGAATGGAATAGAGGCAAGGACAAACTGAGGTACAAAGTCTCTTTTTTTCTCCTAGAGGGCACCCTACCACTTGAGGGTTGAGATGTATTAGCAGGGCAGTTTGTGATGGAAGCTGTACCAGTTAGCAGGATAAATACAGGACTTCAGCAATCAGGGCTGTCTCTCCGAAACCCTTCATCAACATTAAATTCACCTGCAGAAAGGGTGTGTGGATCCTGGTTTATTAGATGTGGCTGATTTTGGTGAATGAGTTTTGACAGAGGGCCTGTTTTACCTAAGGACACAGGAGAAGAAGCCACTCACACACAGACTGGCAATCCAGTCAGGCTGACAACCTGTCTGCCAGCAACCAATGCGGGATGCTTTAAGCCCTGTTCTGTGACTTTGTAGACACAGTCACCTCCACTGCTTACAAGTACAGTCTGTGTCCACACCGCAGCTTTCTGCCATTGCAGTTGTGTTTGCACGGCTACGCGTATCGCCCCTTTGGACTGCGTTTGTATAAGGGCGGGCACAGAGCTGCAGCTGAGGGAGCGCTCGGGAGATGTGCACACAAAGCAACACGAGCAGCATGCACATCACGCCGAGAGCCAGCAGGAAAGAGGCTCAGTGAAACAAGTCACAGAGGCCTGCGGGGGGACCCATCTGAACTGAAGAAAAACCCAGCGTGTCAGACTGCTTAGAGCAGTGGTTCTCAAACATTTTGGCTTATGGACCACCTAACAATGTAAACCTTTCCATGGACCACCAGCGCTAATGGAAACTCACCGTTAATTACGTAATTACCCTTGAGCCATTTTGCTAGTGCTGCAGCTGGGGAGAACGGTTTAATTTACATTATGAAACAGATGAAGCATTTTGACTTTCTCACGTTAGTTTATCAAACTTCATTTTAAATAAAGTAAAATAATAATTTATGTCCAACACAAAAAGGTTTCAATGTTTTCTTTATTTATGGCAAGGGTCAGGGACCACTGACCCACAGAAAAATCATCTGGGGACCACACAAAAAAATCCGCCAAAGAACCCCAATGCTCTCTGACATGGCCTCCAATTGAGACACCGCACTCTACTTGCACTCCAGTACCATGGGTGAGGGGAAGAGACAGGGAGGACTGAGGTTCAGGGCTTCCCATAGGCCAGATTTACTTGTGGATCCCCTTAGGCTCTGGAGTAGGGACAAAAATGAGGGGTTCCGTGTGATAGGGCTGCCAGCGAGTAGGATAGGGATGGGGTTTGGGATCTGTATGGGACGTAGGGTGCAAAAGCAGGCTGAGAATAGGGTGTCTGGCCAGGAAGAAGGGTGCAGGAGCAAGGGAGGGTGCAGAGTATGGCCAGGAGGGAGGGGGCCATTGACACAGCTGCTGTTCCTGATCCTCACACTGGGAAGGGGACACCCCAATGTACTGAGATCCCCACAACTCAAACTCCCACAGTTACCTGTCCTCCCCCCACACTTCACGTAGAGACAGGCCCGGCCACAGAGTGAGCAAGTGAGCAGCCGGGTGGGCCGGGCCCTAGGCAACTGCCTTGCTTGCCTTGCCCAAAGGCCAGGCCTGCATAGAGATCCCCAAAGCTACCCCCTCACCTACTAAGAGATCCCTACAGATAACCCCCTCATTCACCGAGCTCTCCTGCCCTGTCCACGCCCCCATGCCCAGCCGACATGGCTCCCTCCTGTCTGTCTCCCAACCACGTGCAGGGGCGGAGCAGGCAAGGTCTATGCAAACACCAGCAGGGCACAGGGCTCGGCACTCTTAAGCCATCCCGGCAGAAAGCCCCATGTTCCCGGAGCTCCCGCCTTTGCATGGGACGGGGTGGGGCTGGGAGTTAAGTGAGTTGTCCAGTCTGGGTGCAGGAGGCATTGGGGCCTGCCAGGGTGTCTGGGAAGGGCAGCAACTCCAGCATCTCCCGGAGAAGCCGGGACGAGCCCCTGGGAAGCAGCAGCGGGAAGGCTCCACGCTAGGAAGCGCCGCCGCTCTGAAATCCCCATGCGTCCTGCTCTCACATTTCCAGTGGGAGGGGACAGGGAAGCGGTGAGAAATACCCACCCCGCCCCTGCCTGGCGGCCACACTTCTCTGCACCCCAACCTCCCCTCCAAGTCAGGGCTTTCTTCACCCCCCACTGCCTCCTTCAAGTGGGAAGCCAGAGCTGGTGTTGCAGCCTTGCGGCTGCACGGTAACCACCAGGCTGCAGTGGCAGCAAGGGCTCCCCATTGCATAGGAGGGGGGCTGAGCTCTTGCCAGGGACCACCTGGGGGGTGGCCGCAGGCGGCACTTTGAGAACCACTGATTGAGAAATATCTGGCAGGAGCCCCGAATCTAATTCCTATATCAAGGAAGAAAATTAAATACATATTAGACCCGCTCAGCTCTAATACTCACATCTTGTGGCACGTCACTTAGGGGACACCAGTTAAGTCTAAAGTTGTAATGTAAATTCTTACTCAGATACTAGAAGTCAGAAGGGACCAGCATGATCGCCTGGTCTGACCTGCACATTGCAGGCCACTGGAATAGGCCCCTAACCTCCCGCTGAGTTCCTGAAGTCCTCAAATCATAGTTACAAGACAGAGTTCTGGAGAACTCACCGTTTACACTAGTTTCAACTTGCAAGTGACCTGTGCCCCCTGCTGCTGAGGAAGGTGACCCCTCTCCCCCCCGGAAGCCTACACCAATCTGACCTGGGGGAAAATTCCTTCTTCACCCTGTATATGATGACAGACTCTGAGCACATGGGCAAGACCCACCAGGCAGATCCCTGGGAAATAATTCTCTTTAGTAACTCGGAGCCCTCCCCGTCTAGGGTCCCAGTTCCAGCCAGTGGGGAGTTTTGCTCCAGGCAGTCGCCAGTGGGCTTCCCGCCATTGCAGGCAGTCCCGTCAGACCATCCCCTCCCTAAACTTCTCAAACTCAGTCTTGAAGCCAGTTAAGTTTTTTGCCCCCGTTGCTCCCCTTAGGAGACAGTTTCAGAACTTCACTCCCGACCGTTAGAAACTTTTGCCTAATGTCAGCCTAAACGTGTTGGCGAATTTATATCCTTTTGTTCAGCGGCTTGACTTAAATAACGCCTCGCCCTCAGGGGTATTTATCCCTCTGATGTATTCATACAGAGCCGTCATTTCTCCCTCAGCCATGTCTTGGTTTGGACCACACAAGCCAAGCTCTTTGAGTCACTTCTCATAAGAGAGGTTTCTCTTAGGGATGTTAACGATCACGTATTTGTGTAAACAAGTAACTGCTGGAAATGTTAGTAGTTACACCAGTGTCCCCAGCGCGGTGCCCGCAGGCATGCTGGTGCCCGCCGGGGCAGTTATGTGTGCCCACCTAGTGATCCGGGCCAGCCACAGCCATTCTTGCGCCCCAGGTGCCCAGCACACGTGCAGCCCCTGGGCGCGCGGCACATGCATGGTGTCGCCCTGGGCGTGCGGTGCATGCGTGGCCCCCGCCCCCAGGCGCCCATCAGCCTCGAAAGGTTGGGGACCACTGAGTCACACGCTTACACGCAGGGGGTGATGAAGAGGCAGCAGGAGGGGCAGGCGGCTCAGGCCAATATGTGTGAGGAGCCAGCTTGAAAGCTGCTTCCTGCATGTTTCAGCTCCCACTTGTCCCCCTCCCTGCCCTGTGGGGGGCAGCTCCACAGAAGCTGGCACACAAGGAAAGCCAGCTTAAAAGCCAGCTTCCCAGCACATGCTTTTAAATTGGCTTCCCCCTTCCTGCCTGCCCCCCATGCTGCCTCTGTGGAAGGTAGCAAGGGGGCAGGCAGCTCTCTGGAGCTGGCTCCCCACATGTACCGGCTCCCAATGTGTACGAAGGCAGCAAGGGGGGTGCATGTAGTCATTAGGATTAACTGAGAAGCCCGGGCTTGTTGGTTAATCATGTAATCGACTCCACGCTAACAGCCCTAGGTTTTCTTCCCAGTAACCCTTCTCTGCAACTGTAGAAAAATCCTTCATTAGGCTGCTTACCTGTTGTAGTTCACCAGGCTTGGAACAGATCCCTTAAGGAAACACCCTAATAGCCCTTTCTTATCTGAATTGCCTGATACTCTCTGTGTTTATAAACAAAATGCTGCCTCCCTGCCTCCAGGTGCAAGCAGCAGCACCTCTCCAGTCACTGCAGAAAGCAGAACTCCTTACATTGCACCATGACAGCCTGTCTGTGTAAGCCTGGCATTTGGGGGAGCAATAGGGTTGCCAGATGGTTGAAACAAAAATATCGAACACCCCCTCTTCCCCCCCAAAAAAAACACCTGGAAAAAATTCTGTTGAAGGGAAAAAAGGGGGGAGACCAAAGTTGTGGAGCAAAAAAAAAAGACTTAAGCCCCCCCCCCCAAATTGTACAGGCAGCCTTGGGGAACCAGGTAAGCATGGGTGTGTGTGTGTGGGGGGGAGGAGATGGGTGGGGGGGAGGCCGGGCACTGAGTGTTTGTAGGGTTGCCATGTGCCCGGCATTTTTGCCTCCTGGCCAGGGAAAAATTCAGGGAATACTGGACATCTGAGGTGTCTCTGTCTTTTTTTACCAGACAGGAGATGAAAATACCGGACTGTCCGGGTGAATACCGGACAACTGGTAACCCTAGGGAGCAACGTCACTAACCTCCACCCCCCATTAATTCACCTATGGCGCCATATGCCACAGGCAGTGAAAACCTCTCTCCTCCGCCCTCCAGGCCCCATGACAACTGACCTCCTTTATTTTCACTTGGAGAACGTGGACTTCCTGCTGTCCCTCCATGCTGCTGCGACTCACGCAGCCACTCAGGGCTTGGCTGGTCTTGTAAAGCAACTTGTCCTGCGTGGATGGCAGAAATTTGCATTCATCAGCACTCGTGGGACCTAGAGGAGAAGCAATTTAGTGTCAGTCGGGAAGGAGAGAACAGTGGGAATGTCTCCCTTGCAGTTGATGGGCAAAACCTTTCATGGGCACTTAAAAAAAACCCCATGAACCACAAAGTTCTGCCAGGCCAAGTGAAGGTGTGAACTGAACACTGATTTGTGGGCAGGCGTGCTCCCCTGCTGACAAAGCAAAACCCTCTGGAGGGGGTGGAAGTACTGTCAGTAAAAGTACCCACAAACAGCATTCACACAAGCTGACTGTTAGCGACACCTGGTCACTAAAAGCTGCATAGTGTAGACATACCTAGTGAGAAGAGAGACTTGGGGGGGCAAGGAGCATAGGAGGGTGGGAGAAGAGAGAAGATCCTGGACATCAGGAGTGGAGCAGCAGCACAGAGTGGCCAAGGAGGAGAAGGAGTCAGGGATACAGAGGAAAGAGATCAAAGGGCAACTGAAGTATTTAGCTAAAAGGAGGGGAGAAGACTGTGGTGCATTGTCCTGCTTACTGGAACATGAGGCTCCTGGGGGCCCTGGCCGTGGCCTGCTCAGGACAGCAAGAAGGGGTTCCAGATGGGGGGCTCAGGGCAGAGCTGAGAGGGGATTTGGGGGCAGAAGTGTCTGAGCACAAGGGGGGCGGGAAGCACTGGGAAGCGCATCTATTAGTTATTTGATGCTACAGAGTAGACAGGGCTAATGAATCAAGGGGGGAAGGTGCCGTCAGTCCCATGTTCCAAGGGCTTATAACTTCAAGGTTAAAAGTTTGCTTTGGCAGAACACTGAGTCCTGAAGGGTTTGTTTTAGGGCTATAACTATGGAAAGGATTGAGGAAGGAAGGAAGCACAGAAGGAAAGACGAGCTTGAACCATTGGTAGGTTTCTGAAAAGGACATGTCCTCAAACAGCTCTTTGAAAAAGTGACCAAACAGGATTCTTCCTAGGAAGCATCAGCTTGCCATGAATACATCCAGGAGAGGGAGTCCTGCTGTTCTTAATCTCGAACTACGACCTTTACCACATATTTACAGGCCACTCTGTCCATGGTGGAGCCCCACTGACTTTCATCAGGGCCTGTGAGGGCCAACTCTGAGCCTAGCACAAGGGAAAAGTCACAGAAAAATAATAAGGGTCTCAGAGTGGTTGCTGTTAGTCTGTGTCTGTAAAAACCATGAGGCTCCTTAAAGACTAACACATGTATTTGGATATAAGCTTTGGTGGGTCAAAACAACTTGGTCAGATGCACCTGATGAAGTGATTTTGACCCATGAAAGCCTATGTCCAAATACATGCACTAGTCTTTCTGATAGAGAGGAAAGTCCAAGTTAAGACTATGTTTCCTCTTTTGCCCTACACCTGGGGAATAGCCATCAGAGTGCATCAAACCCTGGATTCCCAGCACAAAGAGCACCTCACTACCGCCTGAGCCAAAGCAATAACTCCTTTAGCTGCTGTCTACAGTAAAGTCATATCCAGTCACAGAGCGGGGTAGGCTAATATGCTGAAAAGTGGGTTACGCCAGCATAATGTAGGATTCTGCAAATAATCTCATGAACCAAATGTGCTGCTGTACTTTATATTATTAGAACATAAGAACGGCCGTACTGGGTCAGACCAAAGGTCCATCTAGCCCAGTGTCCTGTCTGCAGACAGTGGCCAGCACCAGGTGCCCCAGAGAGGGTGGACTGAAGACAATGATCAAGCGATTTGTCTCCTGCCATCCCTCTCCAGCCTCTGACAAACAGAGGCCAAAGACACCATTTTATCCCCTGGCTAATAGCCTCTTATGGACCTAACCTCCATGAAATTATCTAGCTTCTCTTTAAACTCTATTACAGTCCTAGCCTTCACAGCCTCCTCTGGCAAGGAGTTCCACAGGCTGACTACACATTCTGGCTGGCGGGGACATTTTGCCCTTTCTGTGTTTGGCAGAGGCCGGGGAAGCATGGGGCTTTAAAGGTGCAGTGACTTTTTTTGTTTTGCTCAACAAGTTTGGTCCTCTGGTTTTTTTTTTTTTGGTTTTTGATTTGGTTTATTTTGGCTCCACCAATGTTTTTCCCACCATCTTTGGGATTTTTTGTGAAAGTATCTGTCAACCGTAGTAGAAGGGGAAATAGAGATTAAGTGACTTGGCCAAGGTCAACCAACAAGTCTGTGGCAGAATCAGGAACAAAGCCCAGGTCTCCTGAGTCCCAGCACCATGCCTTTGCCTTTTCCAGGGTTCAAATGGAACACAAGTCAGCTAGACTAATTTGGAAAAATGCAACTATAGCAGGACTTGAACCTATAACCTTTGAATAGGTGCCTTTCTTATAGCACTAGCAAGCCCACATGCTACACATTGCACTACAGAGCCTATAGCCAAGGGGTGGAGAGTAGTCTGAACCCCTCTGAACAGGATGCTGCTGAGGGACATGGGCCCTGTCCTATGTTTCTATTACTTGACATTATCATTCGGTTCCCTGATTTTCAATCTCTGACCTCACTCTTGCTTTATGTGTTACCCCATATACTCAATTGTGGCCTGGGTTAGAGAGTCTTCCCCCTTAGCCATGAGGGTGAAACTTTAGTTTGCGTGGGCCTGGACCCACCTTTCCCAGATGCCTACTTGGCCACATATCATCCACCCTTCAGCACCCCTATGCATGGGGGTTGAAATCTTAAATCTTATTCAAAGTGAAATTTTACAGGTCAGTCCCAGCCCTACCAAACTGACCATGAATGAATGGTGAGCTCTCAGCCTGCCAGAGCACAGGGAAATATGTGAACCACACACCCCATCTTGCTTCAGGACATGAGAAGACAATTCTCACTGAGGGCAGGAACCCTAGCCCTGCGCCCTCCTACTTAAACACCCAGCATTCCACAACAGGCCAAGTGCTCCATGTTGGGGCTTTATAAAACTTCCTCTGAAGTATCACACGTTGGCCACTGCCCAAGGCAGGAGATTGAACGCATTAAAGCTCTGATCCGGTATGGAAAATGTGATGTCCCTGCTGCAACCAGTTCTTGACAAAATCGTGCTGTATCTTTCACAAACAATTGAGCACAAGAAGCAACATCTCTCTCCCCCCTTCCCCTGTGCACTCCCCCCTCCGGTCTGCAGCACAGCAAGAGGAAATTGGAAAGATCAGAAGCTGTTATTTAAGTCATCCAAAAACCGGGACACGCAACATTGTACAGAAGGGACAATAACAATGTGCAATTAAAAAAAACCTAAACAGCAAATCTGTTACTGGAATGCAAGCAGATCTGACTCCGGCTGCCTGCAATGCAGCTGACTGGGGGATTGCCCCATTGAAGGCACTGAGACTTTGTAAGGAGAAAGTTGCTACTCAGCGTGAGTAAAGCTATCAGAATATGGCCCCCCGGCTCTGTTGGACAGAAGCTGACACTACGCCCAGCCAAACCTTGGGAAAACAAACCCACAGCAACATCACTGAAAGTTCAGCTATGTAAATATGGGGGAGGGGAGGTTGGCTATTTTGCATTGACCTTGGAAAAATTTTATCCTGCTAGAGCTGAGAAGTGGGTGGGGACATGGCGAGACATCTCACCTCGCCCACTGAACAGAAGCAGCAGGGACATCAGAGCTCGCTCTGCTAGTCCAACCCAGTGTGCTAAAGCCTCTGACATGCAAGAACAAACAGCTTTCACTGGAAGGAATGAGAATTGTTCAGCTGTGTGTCATAGGCCCTATACTGCTATCAGCTAATGGAGATTCGACTTTGGTACACAGGTCTGGACTAACAGAGCAAGATCTGATGTCCCAGCTGCTTCTGTTAAGTTCCTAGTGGCTCTGGCATTCAGCACCGCAAAAGCTATGAAGTCTTCCGCGGCTACTGATGTTTTACAGCAGCATCTTAATGTAACAAAGAATTGATGGTGTGGACCTGCGACCCCCCCCATGAGTCCCTCCATAAAAGGAACCTAATACCAGAGGGTCCCTCCTTTGACAGACCTCCTGAGTTGAGCACGCAGTGGGAGGGGGAATGAGTCTGAAGCAGAGGTGGTGAACCGGGGTCCCGCGACTGGGCCTGGCTGCTCCCTCCAGGGAGTGTTTTCTTTGGAGATGGCCAGCCACTGAAAGGATTTTCATCACTTCCCTCTGGGGACTGCTGCTCACCAGTGGCTCCAGACAACGGCCTGAAGCCGAGGCGTCTGGAGGCAGCGGAGCTGGGCCGGATGCTAGGCCTGGATTGTCCAGACGCCCTGACATTGAAGGGTGGATGACTGGGCGATGGTATCTACAGTTCTAGTGAGTGACAGGAAATAGGTGGCCAGAGCCATGGAAGTGGAAATTTACACACAAGTGTCAGCAGTGCTGCACTGCAGGAGGATGGAGAACAGGCAGGCCCATACGCCAGGGGGTGCGAAGGGTGCGAAAACCCGCCTTGGTCCCCCAAGTAAGTATGCTCTGGCCGACCAGGAGAAGGCAGGGGCTGATTTCCCCGCTTACTTGGGGGATTGTGGGGGTGCGTTCACACCCTTGTGGTCCATATTTACAAAACAAGCCCCTCCCCCCAAGAAATTCCTGCATACGGGTCTGACAGGAGAGTGGGGGAGGGGAGAAGGAGGAGAATATATAAGGGGGGAAGGTGCAGGGAAGCTGCAAGGTCAGGGCGCAGGTCTTGCAAGTGCAATCCTTTCATTGGCGTATCTGATGAATACACATGCCCTTTGACAGTGTCTAGATCTACAGTTCAACCTGCAGCACACAGGGGGCTGCAGGAACACAGGGCTGCCCAGGCTCTTCCCGGACTGGTGCCAGGGGAACTCCGGCTGCTCCAGGACATGGCTCTGCCCCGGTTGTTCTTGGTCCCAGGCAGGATGGGGATGAAGGTTGAGTTGCTGACTCCTGCTGCTTGCCCTGGCAGCTCCCTGCCCTCAGCTAAGGGCTGCTCTGGCTGTGGTGCTGGGGTCACGCCTGGCTCCTAACTTCCTGCTCCTGAGGTGGGGGTGGAGAGACAGGAGGCACTGATCCAAGCGGCCATTCTCTGGCTTATG